AAGCCTCTTAATTTTTCATCACTCGAATTGATTACATTATTTATAAGATTATAAAAAGTGTTTAAATCATGTTATTTTCGATATTTAAAAATATATTAAATTTAGCCATTTATAAGTTGACAAACTGATTATAAAGAGCCTTAATTCGCAAAACAAATTAAAATCATTTTATTATCACAATCTTGTCATTTAATTGCCCATTATTTTGGAGATTACATGGGAATCTAAACTTTCGATAACTTGTTGTAATCGACACAAGTCCTGAATTTGATGAAATAAAACAATTCATATTTTGTTAACCAATGTTTAGAAAGCTTTTTTTAAAGAATGATCATTGTTTCGGTTTTAAAACATTTTTATTTAATTTCAAAACAACTATTTGGACGGAAACTAAGTTTCTATCAGTTTTTATATTGAATATAATTTGTCCGAAATAATGCACTTCAACAAGACTATGATATCAACAAAACAACTATTTGTTCAAAAAGTGCATAAAATAAAATATATTTCATAAGTTATAGCCTATGTATAGTGTGACTATATTTTATGATTCTATGGTCTAACAAATATCAGATCATATGATTGATTGGTAATTATATTACTCTATATATAAATTATAGAATCTATTATTACTAACAGAATATTGGTCTAAAGAATATTAGAATAATCTAAATATATGTAATACTATTGGAAAACTTGTCACTGAGTGTCTCACCGAATGTTTCACAATTAGATCTAAAGATCCCTAAAGAATGTGTGAAGACTAGCAATGAATCAAAGGAAGACTTGTATTTAAACTGCATTCTTGAGTACCACATAAGGAACTCCTAATTCAAACTCATTTCGGGGCCAAAACATAAGAACCGGGAGTTTTTCTTCGTGTTCGTTGATTGCATCGAAATATGCGAATAAAACGCATACAGTGTATGCGGTTATGGCTATCAGTATATGCCATAAGCCGTGGAGGTATGGGAAGTTGACGGCCGACCATATGTCACAAAATAATCGGTCGAATATCCAACTGAAGACAGCGAAGATCCAGCATAAGAAACACCGCAAACCTAACCGTTTGATTCTTCCGTTACGACACCTAACCATACATTGAGTTTAATTTAGTCTCAAAAATAAAAGTCAATTCAAATGTCTTTACGCTCGGAGTTCCAGCAGAAGCAGAACGAATGCAGGAACTCCTAAACACATGAGTGCGAAACAGTTGATCCACGGGTACACCCACGCCATCACTGTCCCAATCAGACTCATCACAAGAAGTATAACCTGGAAATGTTTACTTAACACAAAAAAGTATGACAATTACGATATAGCTATGAATATAGTGATAGAAATACACACCGATCGCCGTTAAGCCATAAGGGGTAGTGGCGTCGGGGTAACCACATGCCAAAGGCTGCGGCCATCAGCCATAGTATGGCCAACTCGTCCAACAGCTGTCCCACAAGACTGAGAGTGGCGTGAAAATAGGCCGAACAGATGCCTACCGTCGCGAACAGAAACCAAATGACATAAACGCCTCGATTGACAGTCCGGGCGTATTGTTTGAACAGTTGACTCAAGAGCGCCGGTAGTAATAGGAAGAGTATATTCGATACCTATTTGATAGTAAGTCAGCGATTAAAGAGTTAGTCATAAAATGAGATAAACTTAAGATATACCGTATTTATAAATTCTGCGATTAGTGGTGAATATCTATAATTACTTTCACACCAGTCTATCGGTTAGAGATAAAAGTATATTACAATTGTAATAATATAGGTATGACATACCTATGGGTGACGTTCCCCTCTCTAATGCACTCAATAATGACATTATATTTAATTTAGTCAAACATTAACAGGAAGTTTATAAATTGTAAATTTGTTTTAGGATATAACGATTTAATCATTGAAAAAATAATTTCATTTGATTTCATTTATTTGATACTTGCGTTGAAATAAATTAAAATAAAATAAATAATAAAATTGCGTTCAACTGTCCATTGGTTTGGAAAATAGACTTAAAACGAGATTAAAAGTGGAGAAAAACAAAATTAAGAGAAATTGAAAAACTAATGAAATATAAAAACTTGTTTTGAGATTCAATTGAAGAGACAAATGATTTGATATTTTGTGGTTATTTTAGTGGCAAGTCTACAGACAATTGCTTAATGACAAGCAGTTATGATAATAAGTCTGTAATTATTGAGCACTTCTTCACTCATTATTACAATTCATTTGTTTATCAATTCATTTCACTTTCACTTAAATATAATCATTAAAATTATTTTCCTTTTATTATTATTAATGAATTCATTTCTCTAATGAGATATCATTTCATTTGTTTTGTCATTATTTGTAAATTCATATATTTTTCCATTTTTTAATATTTATAATAATTTTCATAAATTCAATGTTAATAACAATTTCTATAAAATACTTTTAAATTTGTTTTTTAATCACAATTTATAACATAAGTTGTTATCATTTATCAATTATTAAATCAAATAATATTAATAAAACATTATCTGATAATACGCTATGTTTTAATACCATTTCATTGAAACCATTGATTGTTTGAGTTTTGATAGCAATATATCGTCTAAATATTGGTTTAATTATGAAACAAATGAATAAATAAATGCATTTATAGTTAATTGTGTCAAACGTTTGTATGAAAACAAAACCAAACCATTCATTCATACAATCATTGATTCATTGAAGTGTCAAAAGTGTTATGAAATGCAAAGCAAAACAACATATGATTTGCCATAAAGTGCGCCAAAAGTGACACAAACTGTAAATACAGTGAGTTTTGCAATGTTTTGAGTGATTCACTGATTCATTGATCCAAAGCTTTATGAATTGGTTTTCAATTGACTATTAAATATGTTTTCATTGCTTTCACTCGTATTTCCCTTTCAGTCAAACAACAAAAGCAATGATTTGTTTGTGAAGGCAAACGGCAATCAAACAAACAGTTTATTACTAATGAATAGCCATTTGATTGCAAACGACTCGTCCGCCAAACGAAGTCTTTTGTATCAATTAAGTGAATCTGTTGTCCGTCATCACCACCAAGACATCCATTACATCGTTCACGAAAAGATGACTGAAATGCCCGCACGAGTGGATCAGATGCCGGCCATTGATGCCACGAATGGACATCTTCTTGAGTTCCTTAAGATGTTTTACTTGCCTTCTTATGACTCGTTAGTCACTCACTTGTTAGGCATCCAATCGACACAATTGTCTCCAATGGTGATCATTGTGGACGACATCTCCTATTATGTCAAACAATACAACTCAAGGATTGAAAGACAAGGAAACAGCGAATCCATTCACAAAAGACACAAAAGTTATACCAAAGACGAGAAGCAACTGATGGCTCAGTTGTCGGCACTCCTCATAAATACTGGCAATAATTGCGGACAAAAACTCAATAAACAGTGTTTAGTAGTCATGGGCTATAACGCCGACTATTCAATGGACACCCGAAAGGCTCAATCCATTGGACACCGATTCTTCACTTATGAGTGGCTTCTCTCCAAGAAGTTAGACCACTCGCCCCAACAAACCAATTATCAAATTGACTGCACTTCCAGTGATTGTCACCTTCAAGTTGATATGAGTTTGAAAAATAAACAATTTGTTTTGAATCAGATATCAAAGTGTGATTAACTGATCCACTCGTCCTAACACTGACTTCCATTCAAATGCTGCAATCATTTAACCAAAATACAAATACAAATACATTTATATCGTAATTAAAATGCCTTTATTTTTGTTAACATTTAAAGCTTTTATAACTGAAAAAGTAATTCAATTATAATGAGTGCCATATAATTATGAAAATTGTTTGCAATGTTCATAGGATTTATCATTATCTTATTATACGTTCTGTAACTCCTATATTATAATCACTTAAATGATGTTGAATTTAGTTAAATAAAACTGACAAATAATTTCACTCATTGAGAATAATACCGATTGAAAGGTTCATTATTAAGAATTTGATCAGATGTTGACAATTGTTATTGTATTTACAAATGATAGAAAAATAAAAGTTTTGTAATTCATTTGAATTTTATTTTCATTTTATTTAAATGAATTTTATTTTGCGTTAATTTAAAGAGAAACTAATTTTTCCTTTGTTTTGCGAATCGGACGACAACTTCATCATAAGGACTTCATTGAGAGTTTGGCCCACTTTTTGCACTTTCTATCAATTGTCAAACAAAATAATATTCATATATCTACTGAAATCCAAGTTTGACTCATACCTCATGAGTGTGTTGGATGGGCTCCGGGTGTAAACTTCCGGACTTTATTTTCTTCATATAAACAATGCCTTCACTCGAGTTGATGGCGAATGAAATGCTGGCAATACTGGCCTCGTCTTCCTCGGGAGTGACGTCCACCACATATCTGGTGCTGATTCGCGTCAGAGTGACGAAGAGTGGCACTCGACTCACATCCAGTCGGGTTGACTCAAACATGTCGTCCGACACCACAAAGTCTTCAGAATCGCCCGCAACTGCACTCACTGAAGGGATTCTGGGGATTAGCACAGGATTTGGGATTAGATTTATTTGGCAATAAATACAGAAATAATTCAATACTTTGTGTCAAAAAGAGCTGATTTGACGGCAATGGCCGCGGAATCAATCAAAGAGGGAAGTGATCCGCACTCAAGAACCACGATATCGATGTGAATGACCCAAAAATACTTGTTGGGAACCACTACTAGTGATTGCAAATCAAGACATTGAGGAATGGATTCCGAGAAAAGAGTGACCAAAACATTAGTGATGTCTTCTCCATGTCTTCCCTCAAACATTGGCGACGCGTTGGCAGTGATGTCGGCGGAGAAGTCGATTCTTCCACATTGGTTCCAGTCTTCCAATTGTACCACAGATTCGATCTCCAGTTTGATGCCAACCAACACATCGTTGTGTCCGCACCTGATATGTGCGGATCCGTCACAGTTGTGGGTGACGTCCCTCTCGATGGATATCATCTGATAGTCATCACAAGAACGACCGTCAGATCGCATCCCGACATCAATACCGCCGCAGATATACCTTCTCTCGCCTTCACTGATCACTGATAACAAAGACATGCCTTTTAATGGTATAATTGAATCTCATTTAAATTAAACTCAAAGCAAATGAATATTTAATGAATCAATGGATCAATAATTAGTGAAATATATCTCAAAAACGATTGAATCAAATGAATGTCAAAACAATTGAAAGCAAAGTGTTGTCAACTGAACACATGTTCACAAAACACGTGCTTTTGTTGACATTCACTCAAAACAACAATATTTGTGCCAAAAATGCATAACTTTTGGTTCACTTTGTAATCATTTCATTGATGTTTAATTCAGTGACCAATTGATCCAATTGTCTGAAAAATGTTTTTTCACATAAAGAGACATAAAAAGCATTTATTTATTTATTACAAAAACTTTTGTCGATATGAGTCCGTGTTTAACAATAGTCCGAAGATCAGGATTACAGAGCAATTCAATCATTCATATCTTCCACCACTGCTGAAGAATATCGAGAAAGAGTGGAAGCCTTTTGTGGACAACTTCTGGAGCAATGTTGCGGCCAATAGTTCATCTGCGAAGACATGCCGATACGTGTTGGCAATGTTTCCCTATCCGAGCGGTTCCTTACATTTAGGTTTGACTTGAAAACAATTAATGACAAGTTTATGATAATTATCTCAATTGTGGTAATTGAAGGTCACGTTCGGATTTACACCACTTCGGACGTGATTTACCGAATGAGTCATCTTCGGGGGTATCCATCCATACATCCCATGGGTTTTGATTCGTTTGGTTTGCCCGCAGAAAACGCGGCGAAAATGCATTCAATTGCTGCCAATGTTTGGACCGAAAGTAATATCAATCAAATGAGAGACCAATTGAATGAAATGGGGTTTCAATTCAATTGGAGAGAGAGTACTAGCGATGAGTCCTTCTATAAGTGGACGCAATGGCTGTTCATTCAGTTATACAAATCAGGTCTCGCCTACAAAGGCATGGGTTTTGTCAATTGGGATCCAATCGATGCCACAGTTTTAGCCGATGAACAGGTGGACAGTGAGGGTAGGAGTTGGAGGAGTGGCGCAAAAGTGGAGAAGAGATGTCATAAGCAGTGGTTTATTAAAATCAATTCTTTAGTCAATGAGTTATATAAGGGAACGGATATCGATTATAGCGGGCATTGGAGTCAAATTCTGTCGATGCAGAGGAATTGGCTCAAGAAACCCAATGGATATTTATTTTATTTGAAATTTGCTAATTCTCATGATATTATGCAAGTGTTTACTAAATATCCTGAACTTTTTACAAGTGACAAAACATTTGTCGCCATTTCATCCAACCATTGGTTGGCCTTAAATAACAATATCAACGATAAAGTTATAAATCCGTTCACTAATAAAGCGATGGATATCAGGATTGTTGACAACGAAACCATTCCTCAATCCACTCAATCAACTCTTATGGTTATGGGAGAAAACTTTGAAAGCATTGAATTGAGACAAAATGTGTTAAATTTAAGTAAAGATCTAAACATTGGAGGATATTTCACTTCATCCACATTTAGAGATTGGCTTATCTCTAGACAGAGGTATTGGGGAACACCTATTCCTATCATTTATTGTAATTCTTGTGGAATACAACCGGTTCCTGAAGATCAACTACCCGTCATATTACCCCAACTCACCGAATCTAAGTCACAACATATTTCAAACATAGTCTCAAATCCTATCAAAAATTCGGCTTCAAATGAATGGTTTGTTTAGAGAAAACTTTGTTTTATTTTGTAAATTACCGGTACATATAATTACCCCAAACAACAGGTTATACACCAAATGTCCCAAATGTGGCTCAAATGATGCAATGAGAGAGACTGAGACATGCGATACATTTTTCGACTCTTCGTGGTATTTCTTGAGATACGCTTCTCAACCGCTGTCCAACAAACCGTTTGAATCGACAGCAGTTATGCCTACCTTTTGTTACGTCGGCGGCAAAGAACACGCGGCTCTACATCTCCTTTACGCCAGATTTATAACCCATTTTCTCCATCAGAGAGGGTTTTGTCACTTCAGAGAACCCTTTCAGAGATTATTAATGCAGTCTATAGTTAAGGGAAGGACTTATAAAATTGACGGCAAATATATCAGCGAAGAAGAGGCCAAACAACACGAGAAAGTTGTCGTCGAGTACGAGAAGATGTCTAAATCCAAGGGCAATGGTGTGAATCCGCAGCAATTGGTTGACAAATATGGATGCGATGCCACGCGATGGACACTCATAGCTGACGGAACCACTGATAAGGAGAGGTTTTGGGACACAGAGGAGATAGAGTTCGCTCCGACTCTTGTATTTCTTCACAGAGTTCTGTTGACTGTCGAAGAGTTTCGCGACATTAGAAGCGGCAAAATAGTGATCAACGGACATCCAGTGAAACACTTGGATACAGAAACCGTGGAAACAGCAAAACAAGAGTTATTGCGATCAAGAAATTTCACGACCGATAAAGTGGTCTTTAATACTGAATACAACTACAAACTGAAGAACTCGACGATAGCTGTTCACCAACTCATCAATTCTTTGAGAAAGTATTTCCGAACAAATGTCGTCAATACACGTGAATACGAGAGATGTTTGGCAGCACTTCTTATTATTATCTCTCCGTTTGTTCCACACTTTTCAGTCGAGTGTTGGAGTGGATTCACATCTCATGCGATCGGTTCCCATGAATATGATATCACTAAATCTGTTTTCGAGCAAAAGTGGCCCACAATTGATGACCAGTCGTTTGAACATAAGATTCAATTCACTTATCGCGACAAAAGTGGTAAATCAGTGGACAGCCATAGCATTAAAGTCACTCGAAGTTCACTGAAGAATTGGACGGAAAGTGATGTCAAAGCAGTGATTGATGTGAAAGAAGAGGACATCGAGAAGATTGAGATCATTAAAGATGTTGTGGTTGTCGTGCGACTCAAGAATAAGAGACAAAACGAAGCCAAAGAGGAAGCAATCATTTGAATATAAAACGAGAGTTTAATTACTGTATAATGAATGCCATAATTGTTTAATAATACAAATGATTAGTCAAAGAATTGGTGATTCAGACAATGGGTTCACATTTGAATTCTTCTCTTCTGTGTACTTATATATAGGACTGAAAAATAAGACAATAAATGGTTTTATAAGACAATAATGAGTCAATGAGTGGTGAGACCAACCGTTGTTGCCTCTGATGAAGGCGTCGCCGTATTTATTCTTGAGCTGTCCGTTCACGTACTCTTCCGTCTGTTCCAACGCGATGTTCATATAGCCGTCCAAACAGGCCAACACTCCTGAGGGACACAATCAGCCATTCAATGACCAAATGAGGTGACAATCATGTGGTCACAAACCTCTGTAGTCGACGCCAGAGTTGAGTTTGACGACAACCGGACGGCCAATGATTTGCTTCAAGAACTCACTCGGAGTTTGTCGACGACTCATGTCTTCAGCTAATCGCAGATAATCTCAGATAATTGGTGGCTAACGATGTGATGGTCGGCACAAAGCAGTCAAACGATTACTTTTGACAAAACCAAACACATGTGATAAATGTTTATATCATTTGCATTTATATAGTGTTGACGTTTGTCGTAAGAATTACGTCAATTTTGCAACAAAATGTTTGGTGAGTTTGTACTGAACCTAAACATAGGCCAAGGGTTGGGCACAAGTGGGGGTCTATTGACGTGTGAATGCATTGAATGAAAAGCACTGAAAGAGTGCCCAAAAGACAGACCTTTACAGTAATACCGGCGTAAAAGAGGCGGCGCTTTGAAAGTGAATAAACACTCGTTTGTTATGATTGTCTGAAATGATTGCTAATCAAAGACATTTCGACGCCACAGATGACTGTTATGTCATTCATTTGGCCACAAATGCACTCAACAACCAATTGGCGGCCAATCTGTGCAACGATTTTATCGATATTATGGACTCAAAGACATTGCAATCAATACAACAGTTGAGTGATTTGAATGGTTTGAATCCAATCATCAAATATTCACCACAAGAAGGCAATCAACTGATGGTTTGCACATCAGATTCGGTCCACTTCTTTGACGTGCGAACTAATTGTGTGAAGAGTTCACAGAAATTCAAAGTGAATATATGTCCACAAAGTGGTGACAATTTGTCTCATTTTGTTGGCAATCAATTGACGTGTTTTGACACAAACTGTGACTTGAGTTACGTTTGCGCCGGAAGTGAGGTCTCAGACAAAGACAAAAACAGTTACCTATTGTTTTGGGACATCCGAAGACCTGATGATGTTTTGGGCACTTATTGTGATTCGCATACCAATGATGTGACGGACGTCTCCTTCCATCCCAACCGACGCCATGTGTTGGCCTCCGGAGGATGCGATCAATTGGTGAATGTCTTCGATCTGAATGAGACCGAAGAAGACGAGGCACTGATGGCTACACTGAATATCATGTCAGACGTGGATCGCATTCATTGGACGCCAATCATAGATAACGGACTCATTTGCGTGACTCGTGATCAGTGCGTCCAGTTGTGGGACTTCGAGGACGTGTCTCCCAAAGTGTCATTAAACGCTTCCGACTCTCATTCGGACTTTGATTACATAATCGATGTCATCGGCAGTGAGGGAGTGGTTTGTGTGGGAGATAACAATCATTCAATTAAGATGTTTGACATCAATGGTATTGAAGACCCGGAAAGCATTCAATTTAAAGAATGTCTGTCCAATGGACACAACCAAATGGTCAGAACCGTTGCAACAGATAATGACAATAAAGTGTTATATTCTGGCGGAGAAGACGCTATGATTTATGCGTGGAATAGATTGAAGACAACGGAAGAGTCCACTCGTAAGAGTCGCTCCAAAGTAAAGACTCGAAGACATGAGAAACGAGTGAATCCTTACTGAGACTATTGGCGACCAATCAAACATTATTTGACATTATTTTGTTATTTTATGCAAAATTATATTTTATTGATATTTCAAGAAATAAAGATTATATTCATTAAAACTAATTGTGTGACAAACTTATGGTCCGTACGATACGAATGGGGCTCAGAGGGAGGGCAGCACTCGTGTCAATACATCACGTATTGTAAACACATTGCAAACAACAACACGTGCTTTACATGACATTCAATGCAATCAATGTTTAGTTGTTTTCATTCATTTAAAAGACGTGTGAATTGAGATCACATCCAAAGTAGTGATAATAACATGAGTTGTGATTCAGTGGACGAACAGATGTATGAATTCTGGCAGTCTTTGGCCAGAAGTGCTTTTGGAGATATGGTTAACGATAGTGATCGCAACAAATTGTACTTTAAGGCCATCCAGAAGACAATGACTCATCTGAAGACATACAAAGAGGACATATTAGGTGTGGACATCGGCACCGGCACTGGACTCCTGTCAATGATGGCCGTGAAGAGTGGCGCCCATCGAGTCGTCGGTAATTAACAAACATTTTAATTGATTATAAAATTACTGATCATTTGATGTCCAAAGCGTGCGATTGTTTTGAACCCATCGTCAGATGCGCTCAAAGTATTGTCCAAACGAATGGATTCTCAGATAGTATTCAAGTGATTCACAAGAGATCCGATGAATTGACTGTCGGTTCAGATGGATGTGATTTGGAGAGAAGGGCTGATGTCTTAGTGGCCGAACTCTTTGACACCGAATTGATAGGCGAGGGAGCGATCAGTACTTACAGACACGCCGTTCAGAATCTGTTAACTCCTGAGGCACTACTGGTGCCGTCGAGGGCTCGCATATACTGCCAATTGGTTCAATCGGAGTCATTGTTTTCTTACAATCAGTTCAGAGATAATATTCAAATCAACGATCAATTAGTAATCAAATCTCCAGAGAGTGTCAATTCTTGCCACGGATCTAATGTTTTGCACGACATTCAGATGAATGCCTTGAAACCAAATGAAGACTTTATTGTAGTGACAGAACCAGAGGTTGTGTTTGAGTTTGAATTCAATAATCTATCGACACTTCAGCCTAAAGACCGAAAAATAATTAAATTCAAGACAACTCGTGATGTGAGCGGTCCTCTCGTTTTATTCATGTGGTGGACATTAGACATGGACTTCGAGGGCGAGATTGTCTTGAGTTGTGCTCCGTTTTGGACATACAATCAAAGTTCAATTAACTCAGAGACTATTCCCTGGAGAGACCATTGGATTCAATCGATATATTATTTGTCGGCAAAGAATAGACATTTCGATCTTAAAGCAAATGAAACCATTAAAGTGGAAGCAAATCGAGATGAATATAGTCTTTGGTTTAATGAATCCGATGACGAGAACTACTGCTCAGATTCACTGGGATTTCAGTGTAAATGTGGTCTTCATTTGTTTGTCAGTAGAACTCGTATTTCAATGATTAGTGATGTCTCTCGACTCAAACGTTATAACAAAGCCATTGAAGACATCCATAATTCTATGGCAAACGATTCAACTAATGCCCTGTTTATAGGAGATTCAAGTCTTGTACCAATCATTGCCTCGAAATATACGAAAATTAAAAAAGTCTTGTGTTTAGCAAAGAATAAACAAACCGAAGATTTTATTACCAGTTATTCGAAGTCAAATGGATGTGAAGATAAGATCGAAATAATTCGAGACTTCGATCAAATTGAAGACAAAACAGTGGGCTTAGTATTAGGCGAACCCTATTTCAACTGTAGTGATCTCCCATGGGATCACATCCACATCTGGCATCTCTTCCACAATATTCCCTCAAATGTGTTGTCAAATGATGTGATTTTAATGCCAAACAAAGCCCTCATAAAAGCGATTCCTATAGAGTTCGACAACTTGTGGAAAATCAATTCCGACGTCGGCTCTGATGTCGAGGGCTTTGACTTAAGATTTTACGACCAATTGATTAAATCGGCAAAAGCCGAGAGCGACGCCTCCATTGAGTCACACCCTCTATGGGAATATCCGGGTAAAGCTATGACCGGAACACCATTAGAAATATTTTGCTGTGATTTGAGTGAACCCTCTGATGAGACAACAGTTTTAAAAAGTTTTGTCAAATTCGATATTAGCTCTCATTTAGCGAAACTTAAAACAAATTACATTTCAATTGTATTTTGGGTTGAATTCTATTTAAAAGATCACTTAATCGAGAATTCCGGTCCTATTGAAGACATAATCTGTGGCCAACATGTGGTCTGGAATCGACATTATAGACAAGGTGTTTGTTTTTTACCAGATATTCAAACCCTAAAACAGGAGAATCTGTTAACTTTTAGCACTACTTTTGATGTGAATAAACTTCAAATTGAATGTCATTTTGAATAATTATTTAATAAAGAAATATTTTTATACTTAATAAAACTTATTTATTTGTATCTCTATTACACTATCACATTACAATAAGAAATTGAATAAACAATTTATACAATTTATATGTTTATAAATTAAAAACTATGTACGGTAGGTCTAGTTACTAGACTAGTAGATAGTCTGGTACAGGTAGAATATTTGTGCTGTTCACAAAATTCTGTATAAGAATTACCTGCATTTGTATAACCTGTATAACCTTGGTCATTCATTCTCCATACGGTATATATATATTTATAAAAATGAAATATAAGCCAATTAATGGATAAATGAGAGTTTAATTGTGGTGAACATCACAGACTCCAAGACCTGCGCATCACTACAACCAATGAATGCAAACAAATCCAGATTTTCTAACATTTGTTTTCATTTCTGATCAAAAGTTTGAATCAAATATTTGCCAGTAATTCAAGTGAAGACACGTATCTCTCAATGTGTTTGCAGTGAATGTGAATATATTTATTCAAACAATTGCCACAAATCTATATTTAACTCATTATTAGTTGTAATCAATAATTAATCGCAAAATGAGTGCAAAAGAAGTAGTATTAGTGACGGGAGGAACGGGTCTCGTGGGACGGGCTATAGAATCGGTGGTCAATGCGAACAAAGAAGAGTTTGATTGCTATTCGTTTGTATTCATCGGTTCCAAAGACGCGGATCTGTCGGACGAGACACAGACCAGAGCTCTGTTCCAAAGGGTTAGACCTAATTATGTGATCCATTTGGCGGCACTGGTAGGCGGACTCTTCTCCAACCTCAACAATAACCTGCAATTCCTGCGAAAGAATCTCTCCATCAATGATAACGTGTTGCTTATGTCTCACGAGATGAATGTCAAGAAATGCATATCATGTCTGTCCACCTGTATATTCCCCGACAAAACCTCTTATCCGATCGACGAGTCGATGATCCATTTGGGACCACCGGTGAACACTTTTATCACTTTTTATTTGATCCTATGATAACTCAGTGACCAATATCTCAAACTCTGCTCCACTGATAGCATGACTCCAACTTTGGCTACTCTTATGCCAAACGAATGATTGATGTCTTGAATAAAGCCTATCATAACTACAACTGCAACGATAGCACCGGCGCTCACAAAACTGTATTCACTTCTGTAATCCCGACGAATGTATTCGGAAGCTATGATAACTTCAATGTCGATCACTCGCATGTAATCCCGGGGCTCATCGCAAAGGCGTATAAAGCGGTGACTGAAGCCAAACAAAAAGGTTTGTCTCCAATAAAACATACGATAAATGCAATCAAACGGACTAATGGTTGATCACTGCAGGAGCCAAAAATGCAAAACTGGTTGTGTTTGGATCGGGAGAACCGAAGCGTCAGTTCATATATTCAATAGATTTGGCAAAACTGATCATTTGGGTCTTGAAGTCATACGAAGAGATCGATCCAATCATTCTGAGCGTTGGAGAAGAGGATGAGATCAGTATTAGAGAAGCGGCGCAAGAAGTTGTCAATGCCTTCACCGACGATCACATGAAACTAGAGCTCGAATTCGACCGAAACTACAGCGACGGACAGTTCAAGAAAACGGCAAACAATGGAAAACTTCGCAAATATTTACCTGACTTTGAATTCACGCCAATCCATGTGGGGATCAAAGAAACAGTTGAATGGTTTCGAGACAACTATTCAACGGCAAGAATATAATGGCTATACTATAGCGCATACAAGTATTGAATGAAATATTTCAGTTATAATCAACTCTCGATATATTTGATCTGATTTTTACAATAAAATGCACACAAAATGACATAAAAGTGATGGTAAACTAATAATTTCCTAATTTTAAATTAATAATAAATTTGTAATAAATTACTGAAACGAATAAAAGTTCAGAATTTGAATAGAAATAGTGAATTGAATCCCACCTCAAATGAAATCCAAATCAACACTTTTCTAACTGGTTGTGTTTGGATCGGGAGAACCGAAGCGTCAGTTCATATATTCAATAGATTTGGCAAAACTGATCATTTGGGTCTTGAAGTCATACGAAGAGATCGATCCAATCATTCTGAGCGTTGGAGAGGAGGATGAGATCAGTATCAGAGAAGCGGCGCAACTCATCGTCAATGCCTTCACCGACGATGACATGAAACTAGAGCTCGAATTCGACCGAAACTACAGCGACGGACAGTTCAAGAAAACGGCAAACAATGGAAAACTTCGCAAATATTTACCTGACTTTCAATTCACGCCAATCCATGTGGGGATCAAAGAAACAGTTGAATGGTTTCGACACAACTATTCAACGGCAAGAATATAATGGCTATACTATAGCGCATACAAGTATTGAATGAAATATTTCAGTTATAATGAACTCTCGATATATTTGATCTGATTTTACAATAAAATGCACACAAAATGACATAAAAGTGATGGTAAACTAAATAATTTCCTAATTTTAAATTAATAATAAATTTGTAATAAATTACTGAAACGAATAAAAGTTCAGAATTTGAATAGAAATAGTGAATTGAATCCCACCTCAAATGAAATCCAAATCAACACTTTTCGGTAAAACATTTGCAAATCGTCTCAAAACTTCCTAAAAGGAAGGAATTGTTAATTAAATACTTTTCTGGTTTTCATAACAAACAAAGCGAATGACATTTTTGTTTAATCCATATTTATATGATTAATTAATATAATAATCGCTCGAATGATAAGTACTTACAGATTGGTTTGAAATGTAAATTAAAGTAAGTGTTAACAAAAAATAGTTAAAAACCTTTACGAAAACATCATACAACGAATAATTCATTATTATAATAATTAAAGTAAATTTAAATTTAAAATACATTCTAATTACTTATCTTTGTTTAGCGAAACAAATATGTAATAATGAATACATCAGTCACTCAAGTGGTAAACAATTTGTATATTTCATGATTCAAATGACAGAAAATCATTGCATTTTACTTACCATTCGATTGATTACTTACTATTATTATGTCATTAAATGTTCGGTATTTAAGTGAATCTCGAACTCAATTGAATTAAAAGTTAATTTAAATAATTATTAACAAAATATATATAAAACGCGAATCGAAATAAACTAATCGACAAAATACCTGACTTTCACATAGTATTACAAAACTGACGACTCTTTGAATCGATTGAAAGTCGATTTCAGTAATGAAATAAATTTTTGTTCATTTGTTAATCAATTTAAATACAAAGAATTGAATTAAACTTCTTTTACTTAAGACTTATCTCAAAACGCCGGACGAAAAGTCGATTGGAATGAGGGATGAGTGGAGAGAGGGTTCGGCGCTAACATTCCGGGAGGCGGAGGGGGTAACGACATGTTGGGGGGCATTGGTGGGGGTGTCGTATAGACGGCGGCACTTAGATTCATCCCATTCATCGATTGAGACATTGGTTGCGGAACCACTAACTTGTACTTCATTTGCCGCGCTCTCAGCTCTTCCAGAGAGATATCTTCTTCGGGATGTACTATACGAGTGGTTCCACTCGTTGTGCCGATCATTGCAGAGGAGGCCGGCCTCGAGATGATGGCCGACGCACTGACTGTCGCATTGTTTGGGTTTGCATGGGATGTCATAAAAGCATTATTTGGTCCCGAATTCGTGTTATAACCTAATGGTCTGAAGTCTGTGCCGACAACTGAGCTCTGATTGGCCGACGACGTCGAACTCACTGAAGGGAACAGCGGTTTGTTAGGCATACCCGGAGGTAAGACCCGATTCATGAGAGTGTGCGTCGGGAGTAAGGATGGCGGCGGCGGAACCGCTGCGCCAAACGGTCCTAAAGACGGATGACTTGAGTGCTGAGCGGCAGCCATATTGGCCGCAAAGGTCGCGAATTGTTGAGGATTTTGTGGTAAACCGAAAGGCATTGACGGCATAGACATCATTCCAGGGATGGGAGCGCTTACGGCACCCGGAATCGGGATCATTGGCGCCACGGGTGTCGACACGGATGACGTGGGCTTCGACTCCGTCTGCGGCTTATACTCCAGACCTTTGGATCTCTCGTGTTCTTTGATGTCTGCGTCGGGAATGCCTTCCATGCCATAGATCTCGATGTCGACGTTGTTTCGATTGGGCAATGCGTTCGGGATCTTATCGATGGTCTCTTTTCAAGAATTGAAAGCTAAACATAAGATTAATGTTCGAGTCATCGATCCCTTTACTATTAAACCTATCGATAAGGAGACCATTATTTCAAACGCCAAACAATGCGGCGATAAAGTGATTACAATTGAAGACCACTATCCGGAAGGAGGTATAGGAGAAGCCGTGGCATCAGCTCTCGCCCAGGAATCCATCAAAATTCAAATGCTAGCCGTTAGAGAGATTCCCCGATCGGGTCCTCCGGAGGCACTCATTGAGAAGTACAGAATCGGATCGAAAGCCATAGTAGAAGAAGTTCTTAAACTTAAATAATTTCTATATATTTATAATAATTGGTGTCTGTTATCAAAACTTTTATTTCAATATTATATTCTATTAAAATGTTTTCATTGTATTAATATTATTTCATACAGTATTATTTTTTTTATCAAATTCATTGATATTTATTTTCTTTAATTGAATAAAACAATAGTTTGTCTAAAACTATTCATTAATAATTTCATCTCAACAATAGTCAAAATTAGACCGAAACCTAAATTTTATTATTTATCTGATTTTCCTAAATATATATACAATTTAATAAAAACAATTTCACAATTATAGCTTACTGAAGGCTCTATATTGTAGTTATAAGTTAGTATAAATAACAATTAGTTTAACAAATACTACCATTACTTATTATAGTAATCTTTTAATCAATCAAAAGTTCTAATAGTTTACAATAATACAATTTCATAATAACTTAAAGTTTCTTTTCAAACTGATAAAAGAGATGACAATTTAGTGCCATTATATTGTGTTACATAACATTTTGATTAGATTATATTTTTATTTTGTTCAGTCTATTCAGAATTCAAGTTCAGTTAAGACATACTGTAAATATTTTACACCATTCTGTTTGTCTGTCTATCTGTCGATGACATACATTCAAATAGACATTAAAATTATGGCCTAGTCATTTTACTGCCAATAAATGTTGGTAATTAACTCAAAACACTATAATTATTTAAGCAATCATTTCACTTTCAATCAATTCCTTATCGTATGCTATATTCAGTAAACATTGTGTGCAAATAAACTCATACAGGTATTTTATAATATTTCAAATGTTTTATTTCCAGTGAAATAATTCAAGAAAATCATTATATGATATTACTGTAATTTAATAATGAAAATAGTCAGAAATCATTGTTAAAAATATTTAGCAATCATTTTATGGTTTCTAATGACAATTAAAGCTTTAATTAATTTCAAAATACAAATAAATAATTAAAAATAGAAAACATTGACTTCAATCACAAACATAACTCACAACAGTGTTCATTGGCTAAATCAAAGTCGTTATAAATAATTATAAATAGTTTTAAATGAGTTACAAATAATTTAAATATAATTCAAAAGAAAATGTCGCCTAAAAATGGGATTTAAGTTAAATTATAGTTAATGTTCGGGCTTCGACTCCGTCTGCGGCTTACACTCCAGACCTTTGGATCTCTCGTGTTCTTTGATGTCTGCGTCGGGAATGCCTTCCATGCCATAGATCTCGATGTCGACGTTGTTTCGATTCGGCAATGCGTTCGGGATCTTATCGATGGTCTCTTTTACTCCAGACCTTTGGATCTCTCGTGTTCTTTGATGTCTGCGTCGGGAATGCCTTCCATGCCATAGATCTCGATGTCGACGTTGTTTCGATTGGGCAATGCGTTCGGGATCTTATCGATGGTCTCTTTGTGCACTTGCATGCAATGGATGGCCAGACCGGGTCCGGTGTACAGCTTCTTGTGGCAGATGTGACACTTGAAGTGCTTTGCCTTCTGGTGTTGGATCAGTATCTTCTCGTCATCGAACTCGCGATTGCAGTACCTGTCACACAGACATCACCGTCAGATCAGTCACCACACGACACATCACCCAAACGGGTCAACACTTACCAACACCACGGCGTCGACGGCTTCGCGGAATTAGCGCCAATGAATTGTCTCATCGATTGAAGCCATTTCTCCAAATTAGTCGAAAGTTTTCGTTTGTCTGATCTGTGGTTCAATCGACTGAAGAGCAAGAGATCGGCAATCGATGGGCTAATTGCCGACAAATACTTGTTTCGAGACAAATGCGAATCCAATTGTGAGTAATACTCACTTTGTTTGTCGGACTCAACATATAGTTTAGTATTGATTTCATCGACAAAGTTGTCGACAACTGTTAGTCTGGAGATGTCTTCAATGCCTTCGTATAGAGAACTCAATTCTGGTCTCAGTTTAGCCCCAATTCTGGCCACAAATCGCAAAATATTCGCTTCGCTTGCGATAGGAATCGATTGGTTTGAAGTGACAATCATTTGGTGTTCACTAATCTCTTTGAATATAAAGCTTATGATTAAGTGGTTATCCAAACGCTTCTCGACTCCACTCTCATCTGAAGTGGAGTTGAAGTCAATTAAAGACAACGTTTTGTTCAAATAATCTGAATGTGAATCAGACGTCCATTTGAGACTCGAGTGGAAGTAAAATTTGGTCAATACTTTCACACCTAAACTCCTCATCAGTTTGATTACAGACAACACCGAAAGTGGTATGGAATTGATATTACTATAGATGACCACATCTTTCATTGTATCCAACACTTCATCACTGCATCCGACTGAGGAGGAAGTGGTGCTCACATTGTTTAAGGGCTTATTGTGTGAGTCCTCACCGGAAGTGTTGCTTCTTGTGGTCGAATCCAACGCTTCCTCCAACGCTTGTATTCTCTTTATTAGTAACTCTTGTCTTGACTTCAAGTCTTTCAACGGATTTAAAGCCAACTGTGGATCTAATTGAGTGATGAGTTTGTGGTCAACGAGTGGGCCATTGGACTCCGCGGTGACTCCATTGGCGAGTGAGCCGTAAATGAGAGGCATTTCATACATATTTGTGGACAAAACGACAGATTGTGTGAAGTCTTTGCCGTAAATGTGCGGCAATTCATAGAAATCAACAAAATTATAGATATTATTGAATGCATTCATTGCGACAATCGATGCGATAATGTCTGTAATCAATGCAATTGAAAGTGAAATGCAATGCAAAACGTGTTCACAGTTTCAGACTTTGAGTCAACGATTGTTTAATCGGTTTCTCTGCCAGACGTTTACAATTCATTTCATTCCCTATTATTAGCGCCAATACATCACTACTAGTGTTCAACACTTCACATCCCTTTCCCGTTCACGCAATACCCGAACCCTACATATTAGTCCACTTTGGGACCAAATTCGGGAATTATGAGTGAATTTAGTTTAAATCAAAGCAAAATATTTTAAACATTAAATGAATGCCAAATATATAGCAATTATGAAATATTTAAGTGATGTTAAGTATGGGAAACGTTGGGAACGGGATGTGAATCGTCTGAAAGGACTGCACTAACGATGACTGAAGACACACCTCTGCGTGACGTCAGACAAGCCATGCGTTCATTGATTGACACATTTGTGAGCAAACAATACAAACACTGAATCCGATGGCAAACCATGTGTTCAATCAGTTGTGTCCACACAAGAGGTTCGCCTTCTGGTCAACCAATCCATACTTCAAGTTCTTGAGATTGTGCTCAACTGGGAGTGAGACAAATGTGATCAATGATTGGCACCAATCAGTGCAGGACTTGAAGTCAGACCCAAATGAGGAGTCGTTTCCCAAATTGAATTTAATTGCGGAAAAGACGGCCAAAAGAGCGGAGCGGAAGAACTACTTCGGAGAGGTTTGACTCAATCGGTGGTCACTTTAAGCGTCAATTGTCTTATACTGTTGCCAACAGATCCGAAATCCCAGATATAAACGGATGAAGACTTCGCAGGACTGGACGTCTGTGTGGCCGACGGCGCGTGTCTTCCATCCATCGACGGTTCCTCTGCCGCTACACATGGGGTGGACTATCCCGGACTCGGCGGAAGTGCCGACCGGGAAGTACCACAACCCGGAACTCTTGAAAATCCCGAATTTCCTCCACTTGTCTCCACTCGCGATCCAAAAACATTGCGAAGCATTGAAACCCTTTTGCACGCAATGGCCAAAAGGTCTCGAGACTGACCGCAAGTGTGACAAACACTTCCCCATTGAGATCAAGACTCAAGAGTTTGTGTTCAGTGGAACTTCCATTCGATGGCCTGCCTATCGAATCGTTGAATTATCACTAAAGATGTCAGATTTGCCACTCGATGACCACTCCAGAGATAAGATGAGGAGATTATTGATGGAAAAGTATGACGCGAAGAGCGATACAATCATTATAACTGCTTCCAAATGTCCCACAAGAAGACAGAACTATGAATATGCCGTCTATTTGTTAACCGCTGTCTTCTTCGAGTCTTTGGTTCGCTTTTGTCTCTATATTTGTGTCTAATTTATGAGAACTAATGAATGGTTTGTTGAGCAGAAAGTGGAGGACTGGGAGGCAGAGAAGGCTGAGTCCGATTGGGAACACTTCTATTGGAGTGAAAGTCAGTCCAAGAAGTCGATCGTCTCTTATATGAAACAAATCAAACCCGATCTCAAAGAGGAGGACATTCTGAACGACGAAAGGATCAAATCGTTTGCGGAATCCGTTTCACGACTTCAGGACCAAAAAGAGGATAAAATAAATTTAGAAAACTATAAGAAGAATGTCTTACAGATCATCTTCTGAAGACATGTCTTGAAATTTGATTAATATTAGAGTAAATAGTGATTAATTTGTAAATAAAAATGAATAAATATTTAAGACAATCGAAATCAGATGAAACACTTGACAATTGGTGTGAAAAGTGACACTCAATTGAATGCAAAACGAGACGTCATTTATGAGTGATCTTTGAATTGATCGCCATTTTTGTAAAGAGTTTTTGTATTGTATTTGGATTTGATTTATGAGACAAACAGTGATTTGATTGAATCGATCGCAACAGACGAGTGATGGGACGCAAGAAGAAGAAGCCGTCGAAGCCGTGGTGTTGGTAAGTGTGGACCCGTTTGGGTGATGTGTCGTGTGGTGACTCATCTGACGGTGATGTCTGTGTGACAGGTACTGCAACCGCGAGTTCGATGACGAGAAGATACTGATCCAACACCAGAAGGCAAAGCACTTCAAGTGTCACATCTGCCACAAGAAGCTGTACACCGGACCCGGTCTGGCCATCCATTGCATGCAAGTGCACAAAGAGACCATCGATAAGATCCCGAACGCATTGCCGAATCGAAACAACGTCGACATCGAGATCTATGGCATGGAAGGCATTCCCGACGCAGACATCAAAGAACACGAGAGATCCAAAGGTCTGGAGTATAAGCCGCAGACGGAGTCGAAGCCCACGTCATCCGTGTCGACACCCGTGGCGCCAATGATCCCGATTCCGGGTGCCGTAAGCGCTCCCATCCCTGGAATGATGTCTATGCCGTCAATGCCTTTCGGTTTACCACAAAATCCTCAACAATTCGCGACCTTTGCGGCCAATATGGCTGCCGCTCAGCACTCAAGTCATCCGTCTTTAGGACCGTTTGGCGCAGCGGTTCCGCCGCCGCCATCCTTACTCCCGACGCACACTCTCATGAATCGGGTCTTACCTCCGGGTATGCCTAACAAACCGCTGTTCCCTTCAGTGAGTTCGACGTCGTCGGCCAATCAGAGCTCAGTTGTCGGCACAGACTTCAGACCATTAGGTTATAACACGAATTCGGGACCAAATAATGCTTTTATGACATCCCATGCAAACCCAAACAA